TGAAGATGTATTTGAACTGGCTTTCAGGGGCACTTCCATATTGTTAAGGGTATAGACTTATCAACATATATTTTTTTATATGGATATCTTTTATGTATGTTTCAGATCCGGTGAGTTGAGCTGCGGTTTTATTGAGAAAATATTTTACTTCATATTTGGTAAATCCTACAGTATGCACTTTATTGTTCGATTTTAGAATTAGATAACAAAACCTAATTTGGGAGTTTTTTTATTTAGTTGATGCAATTTTGAAGATATTTAAATATTTTAGAATTAGTAAATATAAAAATTAGCTCAACATAATCCGTACATAAACACACCTCAAAATCATCCTTAGCTGGTCTAAAAAGACGATACATGTAAATATGTAATACGTAAGTAAAGCTTATAACACTTTCGATCTCACGCCATGATATTTTAAAATGGGATTGATCGAAGAATTGTTTATGAATTCATTTCTTCGCCTATCTAAACTTAACTTGTACCAATAATTTCAAATCTACGGTAAAGAATAGCGTTAGATATACCGTCCTTGTGAATCGTCTGAATACTATATTATATAGCCTGGTATATTATGTAGAGCGCGTTTTAGTTTTTGGCTAACCAAAGCAGTAGTCTCAAGTAAATATTTTACTATGTACCAGTAACTAAGCTCCGAAGATACAGAGTTGAGTAATTACGTTTCTTACCTTTTTACTACCAAACTAACCAAAGTGGTCAAACCCGGTAGCCAAATACTATATACTATTTAATCTTTGGCTGGCCTCTGTTTGGAAGCAGTATAATCAAATGGTACATTGTAATGTAAATGCCACCATGATATCATCGACGGTATGGTCGACCGCTACAGTTGACCTTGTTATATGTGACAGCTTTACTAGGAATAATGCAAAAGTATAATTGGTAAACTACCATGTTACGTAATGAAAAGCGTTTGTTTTTATTTAATAATGACATTAAATTATTCATATTTAATGTTCGGTCATGTAAATTTATGTAGGCTATGTAGTTCAGTTTTTTTGTGAATTCAAACGCAGCGAGTTCTAACGTATTTGGAGAACGTACAAACATTAAAAATATTGTATGTTTAATAAGTATAATTTATAAGTGTAAATTTTTTTGAGAGGTGTTATTGGAAGTTTATTTTTAGTGTCACAAACTCACAAATAAATACCAGAAGGAATTACACGTTAGCATACAGACCAACTACCAAAAGATCATATCAATTTTAAATATAAACTGTATCAGCAATTGAACATATAGCCCTACAACCTTTTCCATAAGCTTGTAAACAACATAATGGGAAAACGTTGGAAGTAACAACGATATTTTATAGGGAAAGTAACAGAAATAGCAATCACTTTTGAACCGTAATTGTTACAGCTTTGGGTTTTGTTATTTGTAACTGGTATGATTTTATTCAGAGCTAAAAATCACAAAAAACTACATTTTTGAAAAAAGTCGTTTTAGCAGCTTTGGTGAAAATCCGATCTTTCCATTATTTTATAGGTTTTATGGGTAAATCACGATTAAAAATTAAATTTTCAAAATAATTTAAAAACACTCTTGGAGATATCATGCCTTAGGACTTACACACCGAAATGAAAAAGTAGAGCTGTACAATTTATGAGAAAAAGAGTATTTTCTGTAGGTGTAAGATGTCATGAATGTCAACCTGATAACCTAAGTTTGTGATGACTTAAATTATGTTAACACGAGGGAACCCAATTCATGGATAGTTATTGCACTTCACCCAAGAGGCTGATTATATTTTGTTATGTGTGGACCTGTACAGTATCATAATGTAGGATCCAACCCACTTGGTCACCCCATTTCGACATATCTAACCCATATTGGTGATTGAATTGACAAAAATGTATAGGTTATGCGTAATCTATTTTTTTTTTAATTCGCTAAACACAAAGTATGGTAAGTTTACGTCACATTTTAGCGCTCGTTGAATATCAATATTAGCCTTCTCGCTGTGAGTGTTAACGTCTATAAACATTTACCAAACCGTCTCATCGTCAGTTTGGTATGTAAACGTGTTGACGTGTTGAGCAGCCTACAAGTACAAATTGTTTACCTGTTCACTGTCAGTAACGCCCCTACACCCCATTCCTTTATCTTATCTTTCACCCTCCCAACTTAAATTGGTGAAAATCAAATGCAGATTCGGATCCAGATTCTTATTCAGATTGTGATTCGAATTCGGATTGGGATTCTTGATCGGATTGAAATTCGATTTCGGATTGGGAATCACATTTGGATTGGGATTCGGATTCAAATAAAGTCATAAATTTGAAAATTAACCCCACCTTTTGGTCAAAAGTTTTGCCTTCTAACCATGGGCCCGGGCAATCCAGAAAGGCAAGATGAGTCTCTAAACTCTAAACAACCCCCACTTTCACTAACGACAGGATAGCCACTTTGGAAACTTCAATTAATAAAGAAATATGGGAGCATATAGGTATTGTGTATTTAGCAATTGTATCCAAAACTGTATTAATTTTGTTTCAGATATTACACTAGTACGTACTGCACAAATTTCACAAAACGCAACTGATAACAGACATACAATATGAAACCATTTCCACCGATTGTCAGTTGTAATTTAACGAGGGCCAATCTTTTTCCACTTCCGGTTTACGCATTTTGGCACCGGAAACATCAACGCGCGGAAGAACGAGTTAACGTTGTCTCTCTCACTCCAGTCAGCTGATAATAAAATGTTCCAGAGTTTAATTCGTACCTGGCGAAGATATAATTAGGGCTGATGATTTCCTTAGCAAACAGAGCCTAATTAGCTTAAACCCACGTTAATGATAATCACAGTTTTATGCACAGAGAGCAGCTGGTGTGCAGGTTTTACTGTAGTACGAAACTAGAGGACTACCCTATAGGGTCAATTTCAATCCTAAAATCCTATTTTGGCCTATCCCAGATAGATTTTGACTTTTTTTGTTTTAGTATCTTTCAGTTTTTTTTTATTTGCCAGTCATGAGTATTTTAGTCTCATTATATCAAATACAGAGAGTCCTAGTCTTTCCTAGATATTACAATAGGAAAACAAAGCTACAAGCAATATTCCAAGTCCATGTTACAGGCAATATTCTTTATTAATTTAAATTTTTTTGTCATATTAGGATTGATTGTAGTTTCAGAGTGTCTGTTAAGTATTTATTTTCCAGTCTAAGAAGTACAGTACTAAGGTTCCATAATATTTCCGACAATGTTCAAAATCAATCTTTTGGGGTCTTTCTTCACAATATTGTACTGGTTTGCTTTTGTTGTGTTGGCTTTCAGTTTCCACGTAAGGTATCCACAGAATAGAGAATAAAGAAAGAGGCTTCAACACAGATTTACAATATTGTCTAGTCTATTTGAAATATCCGAAGCGAATGGCATTGGCTTATTTAGATCGAATTGATTTGCTCACGTTGTAGAGAATTTCAATCGGTTTGATTTGGAATTCATTGGTCAGTCGTGAGTTTCGTCTTTCAGTGTTTGTTTTCGTAGATTTTGTTGCCCTGTCCACGCCTATGGCATTTCACAAGGAGGTATAGATAAGGTACACAAAAGTCGTTTTTGGGAAAGTGGTCCATATCTGATTTGATTGGTCAGCTTTGAGTTTTTTGTCTCGTATCACAAAACAAAGTTGCCAGTCATGAATCTTCTAGTCTTGTATCACAGGATAAAGCTATTTACCTAAATTCAGATTCTATAAGAGATTAAGAAGTCCACTAAAAAATCTGTAAATGACGTCACCGCCTTTTTCCAAACAGCTGCACCTACACCGCGAACCCTCGCCTCCGCAGATGTGCCGATTGCTGACGGCATCTTAGGCAGCAAGTAGGTGTAAATCGGACGCGGGAGGAACAATTAAAGCGACAATACGAGGCGAGAGTCTGCCGATGGGATCGCGACAATTCTGCGAACTGGCTGAATAATTAGTTGCCGAGGCGAGGCCATATATCGAGAGATGAGGCCGCGATTGCTGCGCCCGTACATAGGTGAAATCAATTACACCAGTGGGACAATTATCCGCTACCGTGCTGTATCAGATGCAGCCATTCTCACAGTTAATGAAACTCCTACGCCAACACCTAGTCGTGGCTCACGGGAATCTGGGAATAGCAGACGATGTGATGATAAGGGAAGACACAGAGTGTTCAACTGCCACAAAACCTCGGGCAAACTTTGAGACTTGGGTTTCTATCTTCATTAGAGGCGGTGGTTATGGCTACAGCTACCGTTAAAGTCAACTTGAATGGTAATTCTTATCACAAATTCAACAACTAAAATCCACAAGGAAATAGCTATTCTAAGTGAGAACATTGAACTATAAAATAAACTCTCTTCAATAATGATAATAATAAGTGTCATAAACATTGGGACTGGTGTGAGAAAACGAAATTGCAACCTTGGTTACAGATACAACACCAAAAAAAGATGTCTATAGAGAGTATCAACACGAAATGACAATACAATACAATGAGAGTCTGAGAAGGAAGATGACTAGTGAAACTATACTTCAAAGATTAAGTCTGAAAAGTGTTTTGTTGGTAGTTTGATAATTTGAAACCATAGGAGTACCATTTATGCTTGAATTGATAATTGTTTATAAATACACCCTTGTACCTCAAACTCTCCTTGCAACTTCAAGCATTCAATTCCATTGCAATTGTAGATTGAAGGCCTCCAGTGACTTATTCTGGGTTGAGTAAGATTCGCAGTTGAATATAGACAAATTAAAAGGTAGACATTTACGTTTCGAAAAGGTCCAAGCAACATGCGCTTATTTCTATCAGCCAACGGAGAATTTCAAAACGTCTTTTCCATCAAGAGCCTTCTTTATGACGTGCGTAGTATATTTTAATTTACCTCACTTATGGCATCGAACAAATTGCACAAACACTCATTGATCTTAAAGACCTCATCGCTAATTTGAATGGCTTCTAGAGCTTGCATTTATTCCCACATTTTCCCCTTTGACTGACCTTGAAAGTAACTCTTGGTGCGCAGGTAGCTGACGGAGAGCCTCAGAATGCTGAGTCGGTCCAGTTTGCTGAGGATGTTCTGCTCGAAGGGCAGCAGGTTTGCCAGGGTGTCCAGCTCGGCGTTGAGTCGCTCTCTGTGCCGCTTGCTGGGGTTGCTCTTCGTCACCCCGTCCTTGGGCGGCGGTTTCAAACTGTTGAAAAGAAATGTCAATCAACAAAAAGTCTATACTAAAGTAAACAATAAATGTCAATCAACGAGTGTGTGACCAAGTAAACCCAAACAATTGTTGACATAAGAAATTCCATAAATTGTAAGGACCAAAACAATATGTCAGTGGAATCTTCAACAATCCAACCAATTTTGGCAAAGAAGATTCTAGGGAATTGAAGATTCAACAGGTAGTACCAATCAGTTTTAGACTCATGTCATGAAGAAAGCTCAATCATCTTTTGGACAGAAAAGGTGCAGCATTTTCTATTTACTTTGCCAACAGTACAACTATCTTTAGATTTAATCGCAGCAAAGACGCAGGGCGAAAATCTAAAAGATACATGCACACTCTAATGTTAACGGAATCAACAAACCAGAAAGGTTTTGAATATAGTGTAAAGAATGTTGAATTTAGTTAGCAATGAACATCCCTGTATTAAACCATAAGATTAATTCTAATTTGTTTACAATTTGCTGATCGCGTTCATAGACCACCATCAAACATGTCAGCAAAGTTCAAAATTTAAAGTTCTGTAGAAATCATATTGCCTCTATATGTGCGTTGGTACATAGAAAGATGGTCAAATCGTCTTTGACACATCTAAGTACGCAGTAGACTCATTGCGTGAAAAAGCTACTATCGAAATCAAACCAGTTGGGGTTACCTTTGATAAATTCGTCAACAATCAAGCAATGACTCAGATCCAGTTGACGTCTCTCTAATAAGACTCATCGGCTTTTCTAAACGATCTGCTCCGACTAGACACATAAAACATTAATTTTCCAGAGTCGTTACGGCCAAGTTATCGACGCTACTGGCGTAAGTAGTCATTTGGTTCACAAATTGGTCATAAACAAGAATCGGAGTGTTTGGAAATAAAGGAGACGGATGGGTGAAGGTGTCGGGGTTAATCGCCATTTAACCCGCCAAGTCGTTAAATCGTAATGAACAAGGTGCAGAAACCAGTGAAGTTATCGACAGTGGATGATAGGTGTCTGTCAAGAGGTGCGTGGGGCGACTTGAGGGATTGGCTAGGAATCGAGCGGGAAAATAGTCTTGCGTTCACAATTATCGTGATGGCTAAACTTATTGCAATGTCATAAGATTCTAAGAGGTATTAAAAAAAAACCTTTCTATTTTGATGGTCGATGTATGAAGAAAAAGTGACAATTTTTGAGGAGTTTCAACATGTTCTCCTCATCGAATCATGTTCTGCAATTAAATTAGAACATATCATTCAGAAGCTAAGACTGAAATTATCTTTTCTTCCTTGATCCATCCTATGATCTAGGAATGCCGTAATGTTCAACTTCAACTACAGTAATTAATTATTCATTTGTAGACAACTGGTCGTCCAACAATATCATCTAAAAGTACAGCACACACTATACATTTTACATTTAACTATGAAATAAACAATTAGTCCACATCGACACACTTTAATGTAACCGAAAGTAAAAACATATCAAAACTTGAGTCTCTAAGTCAATGATGGGACTATAGTTTTCATTGGGTTTTGAAATTGCAAGAAATATTTATTCTTTGTTCTACTGGTTCAGGTTATTCAAGAGATTATTTTATTAAAGACAATACTGAGAACTTAAGCTGAAATATACAGTATTTTGGACCCAATTCCAAAGTATGGTAAAAAAAAGTGAAATTTACGAATAACTGAGATTGCATTAAAATTTATAGTTGTACAAGTTCTCCCAACTAAACAACGAAACATAACAACTTTCTACCAAAATTAATTGATCAACACATTTACAATTTTATTTTCCCCATTTTAATGTTTTCTCTATGTTAATACTTGGAAAACTACACTGCACGTGTGTTTCAGCAAAATAATGTAGAATGTACAGCATTAATGGAATGAGGGAAAGAGAGAAACGGACTGAGTCTGACAGGGAATTAGTCAGTGTATGAATCGTTCTGCCATTTGATGTTTAATTAGTGTACTTTTCAGAGCACGACAGCTCGCTCCCACACAACACACACACTCACACACAAGCACATACATCATACACAATTCAACAACACTCAATTACCCTTTGTGAAAGTCTACCACTGTGACGTCTTTGGTTGATGCAATTCTAGGTTTTGTCACTTTCATGTCCTTGTTCCAAAGAAAACCATTGATGTTAAATCAAAAGTAGGTGTGTTAGGTAGCCTGTTATTCTACAATGCAAACTAATGGGTAAATTTAAACTTGAACATTTACAAGTTTAACATTATACGGAGGTAGCAGTTTGAACGTAACTTCAATACTTTGAATTTAAAATGACTCTAGAGTGGGTATTGTTGACTCTAAAGTAATTGTTCACTTTCCGATCAGCAGGGGTGCCCACAGGGGGGTTTGATGTCGCAAAATGCGACATCAGAAATTTATTTGGGGGGGATTTTATGATTTTGGGGGGGATTCAAGCCAGTGGTTGGTTAAAAGCACATAAAAGATTAATCAGATAATTTTTACGACCTCCTTAATTTATTACTGGGGTAATTATGCAATCAAAATCCCGTTTGACATTTTATCTTGATTAATAAATCATTTTATAATTGCTATAAAATATATCGATACTTTTATGTGGATTTCCACTTTCTGACTCATGTATCATGTTTGACAGTGAGAACAACTCCAATCCAACTGCTGTCAAAGGATTATGGTTGGCTTATTAAATTGTATCTGCAATTTGAGTTTGTTTTTACCTTTTGTTATGAACTCATTCTCAAATAGTCTCATTGCCTTAAGGACCTATTGATGGTTTTTTAGGTTTGTTTATTATAATACTAGCAGAGTACCCGTCCTTCGTACGGGGTTGGCATGTAAGTATAAAGTGACATTAGCGTATGGTTTGACAGCTCCATTTAAGTAATGTTAAATAATGTTTACATTCAGAATAGTGACATCATTATTTTAAATATGATCCTTACCCTCTCTGTTCTAATATTCATGCAGTATTTAAATGAATGTTTGAACCAGCTGTATGGAATTGTGAAATCAAAATTAATTTGACAGTTAGTACTGCTTGTTTACATTTTTAAACTTTGTAGGTTTGTTCTTTGTTGTCATGGATACCATCAATCAAAATTTACTTTGAAATCTCTCACCTCCGATTTTTGAAAGCCCACGGGGCAGAGCCCGAGGTCAATATTGAAGCGGGAATAGTTCTATATGTATCCTCGGAACTGTAGCTTCATGTGTGTGCAATTTGAGCCCAATAGGTTCAGTAGTTTTTGAGATTAGCTCATACAAACACACACACAGACACCACCTCTTCTTTATAATATGTAGTATAGATAGATATACTCGATTCATAAAAACCCAGTATTATAATAATGATAATCATTTTGCTATTTTTACAACATGAACAACAACATGAAAGCTTGTGATAATATTTTTGCTCTCCCAAATAATTATGCCTGGGTCATTTATTCGTTGGATGAAATTGACATACAGTACTGTGACAATTTAATTAAGGTTTTTGATAGGCTATGTATTTATGTATTAATGTGTTTACGTTAACTTCAAGAATTGAGACACATGATTCTGGATTAATTGAATTGTATTTGTTATTGTCTTTTCTTGAATCTAGAAAGAGCGTAAAACAAATTTTACTAGTCTTAGAATAGATAAATAATTATTTTTTATGCCACACTACACTATTTTGACGAACTTCACATGCAAGGATTTAGTCCAGAAAACAGCTGTTTGTCGCCAGCTTAATCAAATGGGGTTTCATACGCTGATTATACAGTACTGTATTTGGGTGGCAATGAGTGGTTATAACAAAAACATAACCTCTCTTAGTCCTTTAGTTGGTGGTGATATATAGGGATTTGAACGGATTTAGTAGTATGACGTAAACTATCGTACGTCACTCGTCCAAAATGTGTTGGCCGGACTCGTATAAAAAACCACTACTCGACTTTGTCTCGCACGGGATTCAGGACTAGTAACGTAATATACTATTTTACCACGATGTTTTAAACTGTTTTACATATAGGTACATTAATTGGTGGCTGAAAGTTACGTTTTGCAGGCCATGCCAGCTGTCATCGTCATTTGGGGATCGAGCAGGTTTTTACATCCCTAGGGCCGCAAAATCAGCTGCCCGCTTACTTTCTTAAAACATTAATGTAGATTAAATACACAATCAGTATCCATAGCATTGCAATAGAGTTGTTTTATTGTCACCGCTGCCTAGCAACTATTTATTATTATTTTTGCTGATTCCTCAAATAATTTATCCACATGACCTTAGAGTTGTAGTTGTGTTGACTATATCAGTGTGCAGTGCATTTTCATTGAGTGAGGTGAATTAGTGGTAATAGGGTATAGTGTGGTGAATAATAGCGTTCGTACCACAGACTGGAAATGGTTTTGCAGTTCTCGATCGTTTTAAGTCCTCGACTTCGTATCGAACTTAAAAACTATCTCGAACCAGCAAAACCTCATTTTTGGCCCTAGGCACGAAATATACTATTAAGTTTAGGCCTAGTAATATTTTTGAGACTGAAAATTTTACACTTATTTAAAAAGGACCAAACTCAGAAGTGGATTAAAGGGCAATTTAGAAAATATCTCAAACTTTTTGACATAACTTTAAGTACTTTCTCCCCTACAATTTAATATGGTAAAAGAATTGTTCATGTAAAAACCCTGATCCCAAAAAAGTGGTTTTCGAAGTGATGTGTTTGTCTGTCTGTATGTGTGTATATGTGTATGTATGGTACAGAGCTACAGACCACGCCTGTGGCTCGAGTCCGATTTTGATGAAATTTGGTATTTTAGGTACCAATCCATGGTCTCTCCAGATTTTTTTTCATTTTGGATTTTTAATAGTGATATTCCATAAAACCCTATAAAATAATGGATTAATAAAATTTTCTCAGAATTGGCCCGTACGATTTTGATTAAAAATTAACATGTTATACTCTTTGACTATGACAAAAATTGTATAAACCCTCTATGCCGTAAA